AATCCAGACAAAAGTAGTTCTGAATATAAGTTAGGTGTTGCTGAATTTATTGAAGCTGCAAAGAATCATGTTAATCATCGAGGCCTTACACGATGCCCATGCAGTAAGTGTAATAACTGTGATTGGATGACATTAAGGCAAATTGGACTGCACTTGATCACCAATGGAATGTCTTATAATTACACAGTGTGGACTCATCATGGTGAACGAATGAAAAAAAAAACATAGTTCTTCGAAGGCTAAAGAGTTTGGAAACTCGAGTGCGAATGATGATATTGTTTGTGACAATGATGAGGTCATGGATATCATAAATGATTTATATCCGCTGGCAGCACACCAACATTATGACAGAAATGATGATTCACAAAACGATACTTCCCATGATGATGTTGCTGCAGAAGATCAGTATATTCCGGACATGCTTAATCAAGAGGTTGATAAGTATGAAAGACTACTGAAAGAAGCACAAGAAGAACTTTATCCAGGTTGTACAAATTTTTCTGTCCTAACATCTATCGTGGAGTTGATGCAATTAAAAGTGAAATGCCTTATGACGAACAAATGTTTTGATGAACTTATGGGTATCTTGAAGAGGATGCTTCCTGTAGGAAACAAGCTGCCTGCTAGTCATCGTCATGCTCAAAAAATTATGAAAGATCTCGGACTTGGGTATGTAAAGATTCATGCCTGCAAATATGATTGTGCTTTGTTTTACAAGGAAAATGAAGCATTAGATGAGTGTCCAGTGTGTAAAGAGCCAAGGTTTGAGCAGAACACAAATGGGAAAAAAATTCCTAATAAAGTTCTACGTTATTTCCCTTTGAAACCGCGTTTACAACGCTTGTACATGTCGCTTCATACAGCGGATAATATGAAGTGGCATGCTGAAGGAAGAGTCAATGATGGTGTCATGAGGCATCCGGCAGATACAATAGCATGGAAAGAGTTTGACAAAACATATGAAGATTTTGCGAAAGAACCCCGCAATGTTAGATTAGGACTTGCGAGTGACGGTTTTAACCCATTTGGAGATATAAGAACACCGTATAGCATGTGGCCGGTGATGGTTCTTCCTTATAATTTACCTCCTTGGATGTGCATGAAGAAAGAATATACAATGTTAACCTTATTAATTCCCGGTAAGCATGAACCTGGAAAAGAAATTGATGTTTATTTGCGCCCATTAATAGATGAGTTAAAAGAATTATGGGAAATAGGTTTGCCAACATATGATAAGGTGACAAATTCCATTTTTAACCTACACGCTGCAGTGCTATGGACGATTAGTGATTTACCCGGTTACATGAATTTATCCGGGTGGAGTACCAAGGGATACAATGCATGTCCTAATTGCAATGATGATGGGACTTCTGCTTGGTATAGTGACAAGGTTTGTTATATGGGGCATCGACGTTGGCTACCACGTGATCATGTGTGGCGTAGAAATAAGAAGTCCTTTGATGGAAAAACTGAATTTCGTCCAAGACCTAGGAAACTATCGGGTGAAGAAATTTTATCCCAAGTGCAGAGCATACACTTTGGGAAAATTGGTAAACACCCCTGTAACCTGGACAAAAAGAGGAAACGGCCTCATGAACAAAAAAATTGGACCAAAAAAAGTATATTCTTTGAGTTAGAGTATTGGTCAAAGTTAAGAGTCAGGCACAACTTGGATGTAATGCACATAAAGAAGAATGTTTGTGAGATCATTCTTGGAACAATATTAGGCATAGAAGGAAAGTCCAAAGACACATTCAAAGCGCGTCAAGATCTGGAAGCTCTCGGAATAAGAGAGTCATTATGGTTAGAATGGAATGGTACTAAATGGGTTAAAAAACATCCATTTTTTACTATGAAGCCTAAATCAAAGATGGAGTTTCTAGAGTTTTTGAAATCTGTGAAGTACCCTGATGGTTATGCTGCAAATATCTCAAAGAATGTGGTCTTAGACAGTGGGAAAATAATGGGGCTAAAGAGCCATGATAACCATGTATTACTTCAAAGATTGCTTCCTGTTGGTATCCGAAAATATCTACCTAAGGAAGTGGCTGATCCGATTGTTCGTCTCTCCAGTTTTTTCCAACAATTATGTTCAAAAACACTACGCACAGAAGACATCCATAAATTAAAAGATGAGATTGTCTACATATTGTGCAAATTTGAACAAATATTTCCTCCTGCCTTCTTTGTTTCCATGATTCATTTAATGGTGCACTTACCGGAAGAAGCTGAAGAAGCGGGTACTGTTACAGAACGATGGATGTACTCAATAGAAAGGTGTGTATGTTTTTTCTTTAAAAGAAATTATATCATCAATTTTATTATTAGTCAATTAATAGTGGATTTTTGTAACAGTCCTTGTATTGAATGTAGGATGCTTGGAAAATATAAAAAATTTGTGCGAAACAAAGCTCGACCAGAAGGTTCCATTGCCGAAGCTTACGTTTCACAAGAATCACTTAACTTTTGTGCAATGTATCTCCAAAAAGTGGAGACACCATTCAACAAGAGTGAACGCAACTTTGACGGTGGTCCTAGGCAAGAAAAACTTTCTGTTTTTGCACAAGTATCTCGACCAATTATGAGTTCTTCAAGTATTCCGTTTTCTAGCAGTGATATGGAGGTCGCTCACTGGTTCATATTGACCAATTGTGATGAGGTTTTTCCTTTCTTAGAGTAAGTGAAAATTATCATTACTTTTAACATATATATAAATGTATATCTGCATACACTAAGTTTTTTGTGTGCAGGGAACACAAGGAGTTAATAAAACATGAAAATGGTGTGGACATTGATAAGAGGCATAGGAAATTATTTCCAGCTTGGTTTCGTGAACGGGTAGTTATCAAATTTTAATGTTATCATTAAATTGAAAGGTTAATAATGGGTTATCTTTCATACTGGGTATTTATAGTTTAATATCTGTTTAGGTTCGAAGCTTAAGGGTTGCAAACTCACCTTTGTACAATGATGAGCTCTTTGAGTTAGCAAGAGGGCCTCTTCGAGCAGAGACATACCAAGGATGTATTGTAAATGGAGTGAAATTTGTAGTTGCAGAGCGAGATGATAAGTTAACCACCCAAAATAGTGGTGTCCACGTACCTGGAAATCATGAAACCGGTGATGTCGATTATTATGGAAAGCTGACAAGTGTGATTGAATTGATATATAGACAACGATATAGAGTTCTATTATTCAAATGCCATTGGTATAACACAGATCCTAATAAGGCAGGAACAGTAAAACGTGACTACCACTTAATATCAGTCGATACTAAAACTAGGTGGTATGACAGTGATCCGTATATTCTTTTGACAATGGCAAAACAAGTCTTTTATGTAGACGATCCCAAAGCAGGTGGTAGTTGGAAAGTAGTGATGAAAATTTCTCATAGAAACATTTATGACATTACAGAACGTGAAGCCAATCCTGAATCTGATGATGACATTGATGTTGCATACCAAGAAAGTGCTTCTGATGTGCCACTTATGTCTCATGCCAGAAATTATGACTCTATCGAGACAGCGCTATGTGTTGATGACGTTCCTCCAGTTTTGGCAGATTTAGAAACCATTATTCAACATTCAAAGAGAAATGATGATGGAAGTGATAAAGATGATGAATTTTCTGTTGCATAATGTTTTTTATTTTATTATCTTTGATTTATTATGTTATAATGTGTTTGAACATACAATTTCAATATAAATTTATGATCATGAGTTCACGACTATAATTTAGTAGCTAGGATATTATTGTTTCTCTATTTGAATTGACAGATGAGCGGGATTCCAAATAAAAAACGCAGCAGCAGCTCAAAGATCACACCAACCGCTAAGCTGCCCAAGAAGACTACAAAATCTACCCCGGAACTGCCTCAGATGTCAAATGATAAGGGACCAAGCCTTAACTTTGACCCTTTGTCATTAAGGTATTCTGTTAACAATCGCAGGTGCCAAGCTCCGACCCCTCGTCAAGATGAACCTGCTAAAGCATTTGAACAATTTCCAGCAAAAGAGGTACATCAAATAAGAAGTGCACCTACACCAAGCGTCTCAGGAGTGTCTAAGTCAGATAAGATAACATCCTTGAAAACTAAAGGTCCTTCTAAGCTAACTGAAGGCTCAATCCAGTCCTCTTCTAATAAAGTGAGAGCTCAGTTGACCTTAAATGCTCATAGGAGTATATTTGGAGGTGGATATTCTAATCAAACCAACATTGTTCTTCCTCAAAGTTTGCAAGATGTTACTAAGCGTCAACGTCCACCTTCCATTCCTTCGAATGATGTCCTGCTTCATCATAACCGTCAAAAGGAAGGAGAAGGTATGAAATTCACAATGTTGCATATACTCAGATGATTTTTATTTTTATTTTTGTTAACCTTTTGAGTTTATCACATACTAAGTTAATCTTTTATGAAAGTGCTGATGTTTTCTTAAACTTGTATAGTTTTGATGGATAATGCAATATTATTATAGAAATACAGTTTTGATGGTATTAGGTTTCCCCCATATCCTCTAATCTAGTGCTTCCATGCATAACATGACCCTCTCGATCTTAAGACACAATTTTAACCATTAATGTTTGTATTGATATTATAAAAACATAGTGAGATGAAAAGTTATGAAAGGATAGCATGTTTGCCCCTAGCCTGGCCTCAAGTGTGTGGGGGTATAAGGAGAGAGATGCACATAAAATGAGAGTGAGCTAAGGTCAGAAGAGAAATATAGTCCACACAAATATAATGCATGTGCTTCTCAATTAAGTCTACCTCATCACTTGCACTTCGTAACCCATAATCTTGTACTTAATCTTTATTGAAGGCAAATGGAAGCTGGCTTAACAAATGTAATTTTAGTAGTCACACACTGTTTTCTGACAATGCTACGATGACAGGTGAATCAGAACACCATGGGCTACACATAGCTGATAAAAATCCTCGCAGATCATTAAGTGATGAACATGAACCAGAGGATGGTATAACATATATTACACTTATTTTGAAGTCCCCCACATATACAAGTGTGTTATTGTTGTTTATGCTTAACAGGTGAATCAGAGCATCAGGTGCTACACACGACCGGTAAAAACACTCACAGATCATTAAGTGATGAACGTGAAGCAGATGATGGTATAATATATATTACACTTATTTTGAACTTTGCCACATATACATGTGCGTTAGTATTATTTCTGGTAAATGTAGCTCTCTTAACCATCATTTTTATGTGTGTAGATGTTGTGAAGTTTTCACGAAGTGAAGATGACAGTCGCGGTAGGGGACCCTGCAAACAGATTAAGACATCTCGTATGGTTCGTCTTAGTAAACACAGAATTGAAGTTGCATACAACAAAATTACTAAAAGAGCAACCAGTGCTGAGATACATAGCCTCCTTGTTCATGATGTTGGAGCTATCATTCGATCACATTGTCCAATGAATACAGGTTTTTGGGGGAAAATAACTGTCGATGATAGAGCTGACCTTATGGATGAGATCACGGTGAGCTAGCTACCTCAGGAAAAAATATGTACTCTATATTGTGTTTTTACTTTGGCGTTTCAAAATTTTATGCTTTCATCATTTCTTAATTTTATTTTTGTTTAGTTAATTAGTTAAATTATTATATGTTAATTTCAGACGAACTTTAAGATCGACTTTGAAGATCCTGATATAAAAGAGTATATAAATGGACTATACAATGGAAGGTATAGAGAGTTCAAGGCTGAATTGAGTAAATATTACAAGTCATGTGAGACGCATGCAAAAGCGCTGACCTTGCCTCCTCCAGAGATGGTTGACAGAGATAAGACTGAATGGGAATGGTTGTGTAATCATTTTAACTCAGAAAAGTTCAAAGTAAGTAAAATTACTTTGTTGTTTTTTAGTTATTTTAATTTAACTATATTAAATCTCTTTTCTCTTTGTTTCAGAATGCGTCATCTGCAAACACAACTAACCGTTCAAATAAGAAGAACAACCACCGTACTGGTTCACGTCCTCTCTCATATATAGTAGAGGATATGATTGCGGTATGTTATTAAAAAATTTCTATTATGTTAAAAGAAAGTTTTTATTCATTATGTTTGGTATTCTTTTGACTGGTCATAATCTATCTTTCATTAAACGTGAGAAAATGATAATGATGAACACTATTGAAATCTGGAGTGAAATAGGTTTGGTTCATAGGTAATAATTGGTTTATGTTTGATTTTATATGATGTAGAATCAAGTTTCACTAGTTGTTATTTTTATTTCGTTAAGAGTATATTAATTAAATCCTTTGTTCATAGAGTATTTTTATTGAAATCATTGTTATTTTTATTCCAAGGGCAGAATCTGCTGCTATCATTTTGCGAATTTTGAAATCCTTGTTAGTTTTATTCCAAGGGCAGAATCTGCTGCTGTCATTCTGCGATTTTTTAAACTTGAGCCTAACCTTAGGAAGGGAAAATGAATTTGATGTTGCTTGCATGCATATGATTATTGGCTTATTGCAGGGAAAATGAATTTGATGTTGTTTGCATGCATATGATTATTGGCTTATTGCATGTGATGATGCGAGTGTATCTTGTTTTAGTTTTAAACTTGAATTTCGTTATGCATTTATGAGCAGTCCTTTTGTGCTCTATTGTTAGGACTTAGGATCATCTTTTGTGCATGATTGTCATTTCAACAAGGATATTGTTGTTGTGATTGTGACCTTGGAGGAGAGATCATAGAATCTGCCATCATTGATCATATTATTAGAAATGAATGCATATTGTTAATCTAGCATTGCTAGTAGTGTCAGTGCTATCCTTCAAGTGTTTAATCTCTTGTTTGGTGTATTTTGGTTCCCAGAAAATGCTATATGATTCTATGTATTTTCTACGACAATTTTTATAGGAATATTATGGATCTAGTGCTTTGAGTTTAACTATTTCTACTATTATTCAAGTTAGTGTTGCCACTTTAAAGCAACACACAGACTTGAACAAATTGTACTGACTAGTAAAAACTATCAATAATAGGATGGTTCAAAGTTTCCAGAAGTTGCTGCGTTTGAGGTAACTTATGCTGGGAAAGACAAGCGTTGGATAAATGAGGCAACAAAAGAACAACATGTAAGAGACTAGCTTTAAAGTACATTTATTATTCTTCATACTCTAGTTACTAATAACTTTATATGTGTTGTGTAATTTTTTATAGGAGAAAATGGTTGTCAAAACTAATGAGTATCTCGCGGAAAAGGCAAAAGAATATCAGCTTCCTGAAGACACTCCTTTGGAGGAGATACCTGTTGATGATCCTGATATTGGACTTGAAATAATGACTTCTGTTTTAGGTACCAATTCAGGTCGTCGGATTCGTGGTCTTCGAGATTCAGGGGCAACAACTAAAAAAGTGCAAAATTTGGAAAAAGAGTTGGAGGTGGAAAGAGCGGCACGAAAGGCTGCTGATGCGGCTCGAATAGAGACTGAACAGAGAATGCAAAGTACCTTGAAAAATGTTGGGCAAAAGTTCAACTCCACTTTACAATCTTGGCATCAATCTTTAATGCAGGTAGGTGTTGTTATACCGCCATTCACCCCTTTTTCGCTTGAAGATGAAGAAGAAGATGAGGCTGATACGCTCTTGGATGATTAGTTAGAAATTCATATGATATTATGAAGTTATTTTTAAAGGACATCTAGATGAACCAGGGCATGTGTTATTCTTTTATTTGACATTTAACTTTCGTTTCAGTTTATTTGATTTTTTTGGGATGGTATTAGTACTCGACGATCTGGTTTTTGTTTGATATGGAGTTATTAAACTTTGTTATGCACATTTATGTGGAACCATGATTTTTAGTATAAGTATGTGTTATATCATTTTATGATTTTTTTTTGTTTTGTGCGCAAACTATAGCTTGGTCCTAATGGGTGATTCTTCTGCAGCGACAAATATCTTTACACTACAAAATACTATCCTAGAAAATCATTTGTGGCAAAACTACTCTTAGGCCTACAAAAATAGCCCTTGTGTGATATGATTTTCCTACAAATCACTCACCATAAAAGAATTTATTTGTAGCGAAAAGGACATTGTTTCGATGAATAGCTTTTTCTACAAAAAATATTCGTAGAGAAAAATATATTTTATCTACAAATTTTTTTCCATACAACAAATTATTGTTGGAAAAAAGATCTTGCGCCTACAAACAATGTTGAGGTAAAAGTATTTGGAAGACAAATTTTATTTGTCTAGAAAAGTTTTGTATGCCTAAACTTTAGCAGACAAAGTTATGAATTTTGTAGGGTGATATCTTTCGCTTCGATGATTTCCCTACAAAAATAGCCACAAATTTTTTTTGTCTCCAAAAGATTCTACCTACAAAATTTGATATGTCCCTACAAATACTGTTTGTATGAAAAACCAAAAAATGTAGTAGTGTATGGAGTACTTACCTTCTTCGTATATAACAACTCTACTATAAGTATCCCAATTGGTACCCCCAATTTGTACCTCAACCTATTTTTGTGGCTCACAAAAGTCCATCTCAATAAATGAATTGTTTCACTTTAATGAGATATTTTTGTGAGCCACAAAAATAGGGTGGAGATACAAATTGGGGTATCAATTAGAGTACCTTTAGCATTTTTCTATATATGAAGCTATATATACACTCCACTGACTCCAGAGTTTGGCAGAGTATACATCACTAATAATTTATTATTATAATAACAATGTTATCATCACAATGTTATAATCACAAAGTAGTACGCAGTACAATATAGGAATAATATAAGAAAATTAAATTAAATATAAAGCAAAAATAAACTTCCATAGTGAAGCAAGTAAATAGGGGTAGCACATGTTCTTGGAGTCTTCTGATGTCATTGTTGGAAAAAATGTGTTAAAATTGCATTAAATGGTCATTTCGGGGCAATTTTTTGAGTGGGGTCCACTTCTGATTTGGGTCGGGTCAAAGTGGTTTCGGATTGTCCTTGCTTAGGGCTACAATTTGATATATGGTACGCTCAAAACGGATAACAGGTGAATGAGAAATCGCTTTTCGAAGTTTAAAAGTGTGGGGGTGTCTTGCTAAGGTGTTTGTACCAACACCAAATTAAAGAAAATAAAAATAGGTCCAAAAACGGCGGATTGTATTTTTATTGGGTATGCACAAAATATAGTGATTATCGGTTTTTAGTGTACGATTCGAATAATCCGGATGTAGCCGAACCCTGACGTAGCAAACGTGCTAGAGTTGAAAAATCCTTCGGACCAGATTTTCTCACATACTTGGTAGAATTCGATTCGAATATTCTAACTTGTATGGTAGGAAATGAACCGGATTTTCTAACATGTTTGGTAGAAAATGAGCCACGGACTTATACGGAAGCCGTAACGTCTACCGAAGGACCAATGTGGAAAAAAGCCATCAAAAGTGAGGTGGACTCTATCCTAAAAAATCACACATGGGAATTGGTTGATCTCTCTCCGGGAAGTAAACCTTTGGGATCCAAGTGGATTTTTAAACGTAAAATGAAACCTGACGGTTCCATTGAAAAGTATAAGGCCAGACTTGTAATCAAGGGATACAAGCAACGTGAAGGCCATGATTACTTTGACACTTATTCTCCTGTGACGAGAATAAATTCCATTAGGATGATACCAGCAATTGCCGCTCTACGGAATTTGGAAGTTCATCAAATGGACGTAAAAACCGCTTTTCTAAATGGCGATATAGACGAAGAAATCTATATGGAACAACTCGAGGGTTTTCGTGTTCCAGGCCAAGGAAAGAAGGTTTGTAAATTAATTAAATCATTGTACGGATTGAAACAAGCCCCTAAACAGTGGCACGAAAAGTTCGATCATGCAATGCTAATTAATGAGTTTAAAATAAACGAAAGTGACAAATGCGTCTATGTGAAAAGCACGGTAGATGTCTATGTCATTTTATGTTTATACATGGATGATATACTCATCGTGGGTAGCAATAATCTAATGATTAATTCTACCAAAAACATGTTAAATTCTAAATTTGACATGAAGGATATGGGGCTGGCCGATTTAATCCTTGGGATTAAAATTATTAGAGGACCTGACGGCCTGACGCTAAGCCAATCCCATTACGTTGATAAAATCCTTAATAAACTTAATAAGGATGATTATCAAGAGGGAAGGACGCCATTAGATAAAAACGTACACCTGACCAAAAATCATTGAGAGTGTATTTCTCAAGTAGAATACGCCAGGATTATTAGCAGTTTAATGTATCTAATGAGTTGTACCAGGCCTGATATTGCCTTTGTGGTTAGCAAGCTTAGTAGATATACTAGCAACCCCGGTGACGAACACTAGAAGGCAATAGTAAGGGTTTTGAGGTATTTATGGAAGACCCAAAACCTTGGACTGCACTATGGAAGATATCCAGCTGTACTTGAAGGGTATAGCGACGCTAGTTGGATATCTGACATTAAGGACTCAAAGTCCACAAGTGGATATGTTTTCCCTTTGGGATGTGCAGCCGTGTCGTGGAAATCCTCGAAACAAACGTTAATAGCTAGATCCACGATGGAATCTGAGCTATTTTTTTTTTTTTTTTTTTTTTTTTTTTTTTTTTTTTTCATCCTGGTGTGAGACCAGAACCCGAAGGTTTTGGTGTGGGGGCCAGGCAACACCCCAACTATTTATTATATAGAAACGAGAGATACAAGAGTAGGAGGATTAGACCGAAGCCTACCCGGGAAACAAAGTGAAAAAATTACAATACATATGGAAAGCTTACCGCATCAAACTTCAGAATGCCTACAAATTTGTTAAAATGATGAGTGGTGGTTTTAATAGATAAGCTATGAATAGCTAAGAATTCCGCTGCTCTATTGACTATTGGCTTGGTGTGTGAAATGGTCCAACTGTTGATTTTGAGTTTCTTTCTTATGCTTTGGATCTTCGGCCAATGCTTCCAATTATGAGTTGAGAGCCCCATGATCCCTTCATAGACCTCTTTGTCATCTATCTCAAGAATAAGATTTGTGGATATTGTATTATTTAGGAGGGTGATAACATAATCGAGACCCTCATAAAGAGCATCACTTCCTTGTTGCTGTGACAGATTTGTGGCATGACCAATATATCCCCCTTCATTATTTCGTAGAATGGCGGCAGATCTTGTGAGGGTGGGTGTAATCTGGCGACTGGCAACATTGACCTTGTAGGTATTTGTTGGGGGTTTGGTCCAATAGGCTACTGAGGTCTTATAGTCTTTTTTATGGGAGTGGGTAGTATGTATATTGAAAGGTGCTGTCGGAGTTTTGGCTATGAACGGGTTGGCAACCGACATGGTAAAGATGTCGTGCTTAATAGTATTTATAGCCTCAGCCACATGACCCATTTTGTTATCAAAAATGAATTTGTTACGACTTTTCCAAAGATGCCAAGTTATGATATTTGGAAGAACATAGTTAAAATCCTTTACGTGCCCAGTGCAGTCTAAGTACCAGCTAGTAATGTAATTATGAAATGTGCCAGTTTTAGAGGGACTAAAGTTGAAAAGGTTTTCAAAATGATTCCAGATTGCTTTAGAAAAGATACATTGAAAGAAATAGTGGTCAATAGTATCGTTGTTATTGCAAAAGGGACATTTAAAAGGTCCATGGATGCCAAATATTTTTAGTTTATCCTCAAAAGGTAGAATCAGATTATTGAGTCTCCACAGAAAGAAAGAAATTTTTTTGGGGGTTCGTTTATTCCAAATATACTTGGCATTAGAAATTAAAACGGTTTTGGGTCGAAGGACATCATAGGCACTATTAAAGCTGAAACTACCTTTCGTGTTGGGTCGCCAGATGTGGTTGTCGTTGTGTTCATTATACTGAATCTTCATAGCATGCAGTTTTTCAGTAACATAACGGGGTAGAAAGTTTTGGACCGTGGCAATCAAAACATTTTCAGGCATAGCTTCTCTAATAGTCAAATGCATAACGTTGGCCGGAATATTCTCCAGGAAGCTTTTAATGGTGCCTAGTTCGCTCCAATTTGAAAACCAAAAAGAACTGTTTCCACTCTGTACCTGAATACAATAATTAGTGTCAAAGACCTGCTGGACAGAATTAAGAGCCCTATTCATAACAGAGAGACTTCTATCCTTGAGAGAATTAACCCACGTTGCCCAGAGCCCTTTCCCAGTTTTAATCTTCCACTGAAGCTTCATAAAGAAAGTTTTTTGGATGACAAAAAGACTACGAAAGCCCAATCCATTTTCAGTAACAGGGTAACAACACTTAGCCCACGTACGCCAAATATGTTTGTGGTGATCATTTTTGTTATCCCACAAGAAATTCGTGAGCTTGCGCTCAATCTTTTGCAAAACAGTACTGGGGATAGGGGAGACAGCCATATGATAAAGAGGTATGGAATTAAGCACATGATTAATTAGGATTAACCTACCACCAGTAGAGAGCATACGGTGTTTCCACCCAGAAAGTTTATTATCGATCTTAATCAAGATATGATCAAAGTGAGCATTAAGCAAACGACCAGTACAAATATTAGCACCTAAGTAATTAAAAGGAAAGGATCCCTTCTTGATATGAAAAATATGGTTGATCACATTACAGTTGTAGAAGTGCACTGAAGAGGCTGAATGGCT